ATTATCATTATGTTCGTGAACGGGTTGCAGCTAAGAAGTTGCACATCAATCACATCTCCTCCATGGATCAGCTTGCTGATTTGTTTACTAAACCTCTTGCCTCCCCTTGTTTTCTTTATCTTTAGACCAAGCTTCTAGGCTATCCCTCTCCCATCAGCTTGCAGGGGCACGTTAAGGAGCTCAGCCAAACAGCAGAAAACCAAAGCAGAGCCAAAGCAGAGGAGAGTCACGACTCAGCTCAAAACAGAATTAGTTAGGCAGTTATGAATTAATCATAGTTAGGTAGATTGGTTATATTTCCGTTACATGTAAACTGTAGTTAAATAGTAGTTACACAGTTATTCTCTATAAATATGTATATGCACTGTAATCAAAGTTTTATGAAATGAAACAGATTCAGTTTTCCTTTAATATGGTAACCCACTAGCGAACAAAAAATACTTGTTCAATAATTTATTGTCAAACAAAAAGTATATGCTTGGTAACTCACTGCTAAACATTTCCAGTTTCATTTTTCAGACTTTTTTTTTTTATAATTATTATGTGAAGGCTTGGTGCTTTGTTAATGGATTATAATCATGAATTTATTACAGACGAGGTTTATTAAATTTATCTACTTCCTGGTCATCTAGTACCTCTAAAAGCAAATAGTTGGACTCATTTTCATCACCCGTATACTAATGGATGGAAGAAAACATATACTACCTATATTGATCAATTTCATATGTTTGTCAGTCCTGATGTAGTAACTACCGAAATATCAACCTAGATGGATTGTGATAACATCTCAGTGTGTTTTTATAGATGTTTATATTGAAAAATTTGAAGTTATTTGTATTGACAAATTTTATGAATATTTGTACACTTTATGTTTTTATGGATACTTAATATTTTAAGGAAAGTGAATTTGTAAACGTACGGCAACAGATGACACAAATTTTATGAATGCTTGTACACTTTATGTTTTTATGGATGCTTAATGTTTTAAGGAAAGTGAATCTGTAAACGTACGGCAACAGATGACTAGACAAATCTATTTTGTTCGGCAATATGACACTGGAATAATCCAAATTGGTTGGCAATGTATAACTGAACAGGTCCATCATAAATTTAGGGGAAAAAAAAGTGATGTTTTAAGAAAAATGAATATGTAAACGTGCGGCAACAAATGACTGGACAAATATAATTTGTTTGGTAATATTGCACTGGATTATTTCATAAAAAAAAAAGATATAATGAGAAAAATCTATAGGGATTTTGTAAAAAGTTTAATTTAGAGTTAGTTTTGGTATTATAAAAGGTGTAATGAGAATTTTAATTATTTCTTAAAGGTGTAATGAGAAAATAGGTATAAAGAGGTAAAATTGTGGTATAAATAGAATTTCTCTTCGCTAAGGCTTATAATAAGGGTAAATTACACTCTCACCCATAACGTATGAGTCATTTCTCACTTTAGTCCTTAAAGAAAAGATCATCCACTTTGGTCCCTAATTGTCATTTTCCACTTTGATCTAATTATCGACTTTCATCACAATTAATGGGCAATTTAGAAATTTTAAAAATTAAGTTTCTCACTTCAGTTTAGTTCATAAATCCGTAGCCAACCTAATCTCAAAATGATCTCATCTCCAAATCCTCTCAATTTCAAAAAGCAACTTTTTATCATACGACAGAAAATAAGAAATTATAGTGAGTGTGTGTTATTCAAAGAGCAAAGAGGCCACAATCGAATGGTAGAGGCTAGTGAAGGAGATGAGGTGGTGGTTAGTGGTTAGTTGCGGAGGATGTGGTGAGGGAGGGGAGGTGGTTGATTGTGGAAGTGGGGTAAGAAGATAAATAAAAGAAAAGAAAATAAGAGAGGATGGGAAAATGAAAGGGGTGAAGGCTTAAGTGTTGTTGCATGACAACATTTTAGTGAATGATGTGGTAAGTTGTGATTGGGAGAATCTATTTATTTATTTTGAAAAACCATTTTTGGGGGGTTAAGGACCAAAGAAGGATCATTTTTTTTAAAGAACCAAAGTAGGAAAAGGCACATATTTTAAGGAGTACATGTAATTTATTCTAATTTTATCACAAAAGTATTACGGTTGTTAAAATTTGGAACTAAATAGGAAGAATTTGATAGTTTAAGGACTAAAATAAGAAAATCGTTTTATAAGAACCAAAATGAGAAAAAGGTTATATCTTGGGGGTGAAAGTTTAATTTACCCTTAGAATAAGCAGTTGTGTATTGTGGTCCTACCTTAGAGGTTCCTTAACAGCAAAACAAAAATAAAATAAAAAACAATCAACAGTAGTTGGATCTTGACATGAATTAAAGGTCAGATAGGTAACATGAAACAAAAGAAAAATAATAATAATAATAATAAAAAAGGTAAGAGTTAAAATTCCACAACCACCTTGCCAACCTGTGAAGTTGAATGCTATATTAAATAGACATATTTGTTTGACCTACAAATATAAAGTAATTTATTATCTGCATGTGAAAGCTTTCCAATCATACCCACATATATATCATCTTCCTTTTCAGGTTATCTCTAAGGTCAAAGAAATCCAGCTATACCATCAATGGATTCAAAAAACAAAATTCATAATAATTTGTGTGGAAGGAAAATTCAGCCACCAATGAGAAAATTAACCCAATTCTCTCAAATCACAAAATCTCAAGAAAGAAATTTGGGTTACTATAATTCTTTAGTGTAACATGTGAATTTGATCCAAATTTTTAGGATATGAGAAAAGAAGGGTGAGAAGAGGAGGATGACGGAAGACAAATAATGAAAACTTTTGATCCAAGTTTTGAGTTTTGAATGGGAAATCACATGCCTAAAACTTTGCCATATATACATATATGGTAAATTATACTTTGTATCCCTACACTTTGAATCAAATTTTATTTTGGTCTCCACATATGAAATCATAACAGTCGACCTCCTATACTTTTGGTCAAATCCTACTTTGATCTCTATATATGAAATTGTGACAATCAATCTCTTATACTTTTGTTTAAATTCCACTTTGATCCTTATACAAGTGTCAATGTTCCCATTCTATTCCTCCGTTGTTTAAATCTTTAACAGAATCCAGTCATGTGACAAGTATGTAACTATGAATTGAGGGTAAAAGAGAAAAATCATCCATATCTCCAACAATACACACTTTGTCCTAGTTGATAAGCATGTGAGAGTTATATAATATAATATATATGTTCGTATGCTAAAAATAAGGATGAAAATGTAAGAAAATAGAACTTTTGAAATCAAAAAAGGTAGCAGAGAAATACCAATATAAAAAAAAAAATGAGGCAACAAAGAATTTCGTGATTTCAATTTATACAAAATCTTAGTTCGTCTTCTTAATCATTCACGATCTGCATTTTATTTTAACCTAATATAATCATAATTTAATTTAAATTTTAGGACGAAGTGTGTATTGGTAGGAGATTGAAATGATTTTTCTCTCTTACCCTCATTTCTTAGTCACATTCTTGTCGCATGATTAGATTATGTTAAAGATTTAAATAATAAACTAACAGAATAGAAACATTGACATTTGTGTAGGAAACAAAGTTGGATTTGACCAAAAGTATAAAGGGGTTGACTATCATGATTTCGTGTAGAGACTAAAATAAGATTTGACCCAAAATATAAGGAATTAATTGTCACAATTTTATGTGTAAAAATTAAAGTAAAATATAAGGGTGCCAAGCGTAATTTATCCTACATATATCTATATCCATTTGGGGTTTTCATCATCTAATTGAAAAGGTGAACTTTCTGTGTATGACAAGTAAAATGTCTCATCCATTCTTTTGATTACTTTGTTGCTTGTACTAGTAATGGAAAGTTTTAAAATCCATTTGACTTTATATCTGGGATGAGTAGCTGTTAAGCAGCTTTGATGGCTTCCTATGGAGGAAGTACTATAAATGTGTGTATATTATGATGGTATATCCTTTTCTTTCACATATAAGAGTGATATTATTAAAATTTTAAAAACGTTATATGTATGTAAATCAAAAGATATATTATTATGATATATTTATTACAAAAAATAGTCTCTTTTCAAAAAGAATAGACATTCTGTAAAATTTTATATTTTCCTCATTTAAAGATTTCTTTTTATTATACGATAGATTTTTCAACTTTTGTGATAAGATAGATTTATCTCGAGAAAAGAGAGATCTGGACAGTAAATTTCTCTAACTCGTTTTCAAGATTAACCTTCAAATGTCAATCATTGGATTTTTTTTTAATTATTAAAAACAAAAAAATAAAAACCTTTTCAAAAGTCAACGAGGAAGAAAGTATTATATGTAATGAGTATATTATAATAGTGTAAATTTTTCTCACATATATGAGTTTTATTATTATAAATTTATAAATCTTACATGTATATAAGAAATATACATATGTAAGAGAAAAAATATATATATCACCCTCATGTATCTATTACATAAATACTACCCTCCTTCAAGAGGAGCTCAGATCCCGTATGCAAATTCAATGTCTCCTTATCCCAAGTATTCTCTCTACCCCACACGATAGATTTATCTAACCTACTCGACTGGCAAAAAGGGTCCACTTTGAGAGACGAGAGATCCAGACAATAAATCCCCCGTACAAGCTGCCACTGCAGAGGTGACCATTCAAGCACCAATCATTGGACTTTTCTTTAAAAACAAACCCCTTCATATCTAAAGTCAAGAGGAGAGAAATTTATGTACTACACCCACCATGTGATCAATATGCCATATATAAAAAAGCAGCAAGAAAATACACTGCAATTAGTTCCATACATATTCCTTGAATATGCTATAGGGCTTTTGGGACTCAACATCACACAAAAATAATCCAAACTATTCATGCTCAATGCAGAAGTCTAGCAAAATCTAATGCTTTAAAAACAGTAGAATCCATAGAAGAAATTAAATGAATCAAGCTGCTGATCAAAATAAGTCAACTTGCCTAGATAGGTAATAACCAACCAGAACCAGATGAGTGAAGAGACAAACTGCTTTTCCATTCAACAAAACCAAACAACAGAAACAGCACAATAGAATTCAAAGTTTTCAACCTATATATCTAACAACCACAAAACACAACTAATTTATTTATATAACACCTAAATAGTCTAAATATTGCAAAAGCAGGGTCAAACATTAGACAAAGTCCCACTTCACTTGTTTATTACCCAATTTCTGCAAATTACCAGCCCTTGCAAACCCTACAGCTACATTGTAAAAGCCAAGTACCATATAAAATATGGCCAAGGAAAAAATATTTCACTTGACCCTATCTATAACGATATCCGAGTTCAATAAACCCTAAAGGATTATTATTACTGTGGATATTCATATCAGCAATCTTCTTTCTAGTACCAAATCGAGACATCCTGCTTTGCTAGTGTATCCCTTGCAACTCCTGGAAAACCCTCAGCGTAATCAACTGATTGGAGATTGAAAGGAGATCCAAACATCAAATGGAAGTTGTCATTCGGGTTGGCCTCGAATGGAGAATTCAAAACCTTCCCCTGGTCGAACCGATCTTCCTGTTGCGAAAACATCTGACAGTTAACGGGCATGTTAGCTTCTTCAAATATATTACCACCACCCTCCATCACAGCCCCTTGACCAAGTATATAGTTGTTCTCCTGTTGGCAATGAACATTTGGTTGAGGAAGAGCCTGCGAAAGAGTCTGACCTTTGGTAACTGGGATGCTCACAGAATTTGAGTGCTTGTTTCCTTGAATATTAGCATCATAAAATGACATAAGCTCACTAATCATCTTCTGCCCATCTTCTGGAACACCAAGTCCTGATAGATCGAAGGAAGGTTGGATTGAATTAACTGATGGAACAGCTGGCTTGGGCTGAGCAAAAGATCGAGGGAAGACAACCGGTTTGAATTCATTACTATGGAAGTTTGGATGCACAAACTCCGAAGAATTGCTTCTAAATGGGCAAGTCAATTGATGATTGTCTCTGGATGACCTGTCATGAAAACCACGGCAGAGTTCACTATGAGGACATTGAAGGAACTCACATGTATAGATCTTGTGATCAATAATGGTGTTCAAGTCATTGGTTGGCTTCCTCTTTCGGGTGAAATCCAAATTAGTGATGACTTCATCTTTGATCGGATGAGATAGTTGTTGAACCGGTAACCTATCTTTGATTCTCTCCATACCCATGTTCAACAAATTGAGATTGTTGGGTTTTTGCTCCTGAACATCAAAGTTAGGTTCATCTTCAGGCCCTTCAACATCATACTCACTGCAATCATTAATGGCAAAAGACCCACTACCACCACTGGACAATAAGGGGGGGCAACGATCTGGGTAAAGTTCTCGGGCCAAAGCTTCCTCCTGATTGATAATTGCAAGCCAAGTGGCACTCTCTTTAGCTGTCATCTTGTCTTGCAAGCACTTAGACTGCCTTACAAGCTTGCGAATCTTGGCAATATCGGGAGAAATATGCTTGATCACTGCAGTGAGAACACCAACCTTCCACGCCTTCTTCAAATCATGAGGCTTCTTGTAAGGTGGAGGACCTTGATCCTTCTGCAAACCCAATTGAGGCCACCATTCCTCATTCCCAGTGGGCCACCACGGTGGAGGAACACCTTTTTCCAACGGAAACCGCCTTTGTGGGGGATCGCAATGCTGCATGAGAGCTGAAAGAAGTGAACCAAGCGTGGTGTCCTGTAACTCCTGCAAAGTGTGTGGAGTAGGCCCTACTGCGCTTGAGCTCTCGTTCTTCCCCGGGATCAAATTATCCGCTTGGTATTTCGCTATTGCAGCAGGGCCATTACGATCAAATCTCACTTTGTCCTTCCACCACTCACGAAGATTGTCTGATGCCCCACTCACCGGCTTTCCCTTCTCTGGAATGATCCCATAAACAAAGCCCTGGGCTTTGCAAACTTCCATCATCTTCAGCATGTATTTCAAAATCCCATCTTGGGCCCTCGACATCTTCTTCCTCCTTGCTTGCTCCTGGGACTGCCTTTGCTTGGCAGCATCAACTCCTTCCTTACCCTTATTCATTTCTTTCAAACGTTTCAGTCTCATTTTGTCCCTCCACATCCTTCTCTCAAGCTCATCCACATCAATCTCTTCGTCACTGTAATCATCGTCCACAACAGCCTCTGGTTCAGCTTGAGGGGCGGCCGAATCTCCATCCCCAAGCGGAGCAGAAAAGAAATCAAGATCTCCTCCAAATCCCATTTCATCAAACATTATCATCATCCCGTGCAACAAGCCCTAAAATCGGCTCAACCTTGGAAAAATTCCAAAACCAATTTGACTAGAAAACTCAACACAAATTCTAGTTCAATCAAATCACATAGTTTACCCACCTGCAAACACCCGTATAAAGAATAACAAAAGCACAATCAGAGAGTAGATTTCCTCTAAATCAGGCACATGAACTATTATTAACAGGCTCATGTATTTGTTTACCGCTAGCAAGGCAGACAAATTCACACAAACAAGAACCATGTACAAGCTACGTAACAAAAAAATACTTTCAATTTAATTGCCAAAAAGAGATATTTCCATTTTCTTTTCCCCCTAGAGCATGTTAGTAATTGATAGTATGAACCAAATATGCGAACATCACAATCAGCATATGTATTTGACATAAGGGCAAAAAGCAGAAGCAAATAATCCCATCCCACATCATCATCTTCAAGTCAGATCTGACAACATAACAAATAAACAGAAATAGGTTTCAACCCTTTCACCCACTAAAATTCCTAGAAAACACAAAAGAATTGAACTTTCCCGGAAAAATGAAACGATAAAGGACACTGATTGGATATGTAATCCAAGCAAAACCCAATTCAAATATTAAAAAAGAGCTAATCTTAGAACGGAAAACTCTCAATTACCCAATAAACTAATCAGGAAAATTCAACAGAAAAAGCTTTAATTGAAACACTAAACTAAGCTAACAAAGAAAAATTCAAGGTAAGTAGTAAAGACCGATTGATGATGGATCGATGAATCTGGGTATGTACAGTTCAATACAAAGAAAACCCACATCATCAAAACTAGATAGAAAAAGAGAAACCCAAGCAAAGATTCAAAAAGATCTGACATGAAAACGGAAAAGAAAAGTAATTTCAACAGATGTTTACCTTCAGACGTTGGATTCAATCTGTGTCAACTCTTCCTCTGCTGCAATACGATGAGATGAGCCACCAGAGTAGACACATAGAAGAGAGAGAGAGAGAGAGAGAGAGAGAGATGGGATGGGATGGGATGGGATGGAGAGAGAGGAAGAGAAAAGAGAGGTGGGCTGTATTATTGGTTCATGTGTGAGAAGGTGAAAAGTGTCGGCATTTGGTAAAGTAAAGCAAAGCAAATTTAAAAATCTTTTGATTTTAATTTTTTTTATTAGAGTTAGAGAGTGTGTAGTGTAGATATTTTATACTAGTATGGAAAATGAATGCAGAAGGGCGTTTGGGGATAAGCGTTTCCAAGTCAGTTCACTGCATTTAAAGGCAATGGATGCGTCGGGACCGCGTCTGATGTGGCATATCCATATCATCCATGGCCCAGTTAAAAAGTTAAAAAAAATTAAAAGAAATAATAATTTATATTAATTTCTTTTTCTTTGTGTTTTTACTTCTTTTTGTAAAAAATTAAGAAATTATTTCAAACATATTAATTTTTTAACATCATATTTTAATTAAAAAAATAAAAAATTATTAAAAAAATTTGTTTCCAAACGAGATCTTATCGAAATATTATTTTTTGCTTACTATGTGTCATTTTGGGAAGAGATGAAAAACGCCACGTTTTTGTCCACGGAAGCAAAACGCCAAGCTGCCGAAAACGCTAAGACTTGCATTTGGGAAGTCACAAAAAAGCTGCCTTGTGAAATTACCTAAATACCCTCCATGTTAATAAATAACCTAAAATTCTAAAGTTTGGCAAGGGTATATTGGTCATTTTATTTTGATTTGATGTCATAAATAAATATTAAATAAAAAAGCAAAAAAGTCAATTTTTTTACCAACTTTCTAAATCACCTCCAAAAAAACCAAAAAACTTAGTAAAAAGTCAAAAGTCAGAAACACTCCTATTTTTTACAAAAAAAAAATGTATAAAAAATCATAGATAAGTGATGGGGTGATTTATAACAAATAAGATTTAAAAAAAAAAACAAACAAACACGCAAACCAACTTGTTATCTTATTTAATTAAATCATATTCTCTATTTTGTTTGTACTTTTTTTTTTCAAAAAAAAAGCTAATAAGCTAAAAAAAAAAAAAATTTAATTAAATCATATTCTCTATTTTGTTTGTACTTTTTTTTTTTCAAAAAAAAGCTAATAAGCTAAAAAAAAAAAAATTTCACTTCTCAAAATAGATCTAAGTAAATACATGGCTTATTTAGGCTTTTTTGGATATGAGAAAAAAAAAATGACTTTATTAACTTATCTGAATTATATTATCTTTTTTTATTTTTTTTACTTTTTTTTTTTTCGTAATAGACAAAAAACTTACTTATAAGTCATACTCAAAATAATCCATAGGTAGTTCTCAAACCAAGCCTAATGCATAATCATATGAACTTTTCTTAAGTGTGCAACTTACACCTTACACTTACGTCTTTCTGTTTGCTATCATGTTTTATGTTTACACCTTCCACTTATACGTTTTGTGTTGGTTGCATATGGTGTGCAACCTTAAGGGATTACACACCATAACAGCACCCTAATCATATAATTAAATATAAATTTTTATATGTACAAAATTTGATCATAGAATCCGACAAATTTTTTAGAATTTGGTTACCGAGTGCTAAAAGTGTTAGTTAAAAATATTTAGGTCAAGTTTGGCAACTCAAAAATAATCCATCTTTTTATTCATCTTTTTATCCATCTTTTTATTTTTTTTCATTACATCACCTCTCTACTTTTCTGCACATCTTTTCGTAAAAAACAAAAAGTACATTTATTTAAGTCATTCCAAACAACCCTTTAAATTGATGGTACATTACATGCACGCTTATGCATTATTAACAAAATTTAGTTTTTTATATGAGATATTTTGTATATTTGGTGAGGCCTTATATCTCATCTGTGATTGAATTATGTGCCCTTATAATTTTTCTTAATTAATTATGATTCATCAATTCAATTAAAGTGAGTTCAATGTTCTATTTTTTCACTTTCTTAAGAAAAGAATCTCTTCTAAATAATTTCTTTTTATCTTTTTGAAAAAATGGATGTTTTTATTTGGTAACACTATAAATAAATTGTTTATTGATTTATTTAGGTCACATTACCTTTTTATTTTTTTACATATCTTTCCGTAATAAATAAATAAAAAATCAACTTATAATTCATATCCAAAATAACCCAAATAAGATGTAACTCGTTTCTATTATCAGCATAAATTATAAAACTTATAACTTTTGTGTTACAATTTTAAGAGACAATTTGAAATATATTATTTAGTAGAGGACATAAAACATTACTCCTAAAACATTGAATAATTTCTTGTCAATGTGACATAACTTGTCATGTCTTTTATCATGTGGAAATGCATGTTTTTTCCTTAATTCATATTAAGGTAAATCAAAATGTTGTGCACGTAAATAGTATGTCATTAATTAATGAATTTATTATACCTGATTTTAATTGAGACGTGTTCAATTGAGCTAGTAATATCTCCAAACTTAATCCAAAATATAGAAGGATTAATTCCAAACTTGACCCGTTAAGCACTTTGATAAAATTTTGACAAGACAATTAAGGCAAAGGCAATAATCAAATTCTATACATTTAAATTTTTTCTTAATTGATTATGATTGATCAACCTAATTAAAGTGGATCCAATATTTTATTTTGCGAGAAATTGAATCCCCAACTAAATAACTTTTTACCTTCTTGAAAAAATGGATCCCCACTAAATAAGATATTTGATTCACTTCAATTAGTTTAATTGATCATAATTGATCAAGGCTATTAATAATGTGATCATCCCAATATGTAAAAATCAAGACTACTAATAATGTGACAATCCCAATAAGCAAAAATCGAGTTGTAGGTAGGGGTGGGATGTTAGTGTAGACAAATTATATCAATTACTTTAGAAATATAAAAATCAATGATAAAATCGGATACAATCCTTTCACACAACTGTAAATTCACAAAGAAAAAAAGGAATGATTTATCTCATATGAGAAGATTGTATGTAATTCTGTGATCGATTTATATATTTCTAAACTTTTTCAAATTATTAAGTATTTTTAGAACAAGTTCAGATGGTAGTCTAAACTAATAGCTATCTACATAAATTATAAAAGTCATCAATTTTGTATTAGAGTTTTAGGAAACAGTGTGAAATTAACATTTAGGAAAACGAAATGGAGCATTGCTCCCAAAACACTGAATAATTTCTAGTTAGTATGACATGACTTGTTGTATATCTTTTGTCATGTGGGAATGCATTTATTTTTCTTAATACGTATTAAGGTAAATTATAACCTTATGAGCAAAAATAACGTGTCACTAGTTAATGAATCTATTATACGTAATTTTAATTGAGACGTGTTCAATTGAGCTAGTAGAATCTCCAAACTCAATTCAAAATTTAGTGAGATTTGTGCCAAACTCAACTCGTTGAACTCTTTGATATAAATCCGAGCATAGGTTTTGGCAAGACAATTTGGGCTAAAGGCTATAATCAAATTCTATGTATTTAAAAATTTTCTTAATTGATTATGATCGATCAAATTTAAGTGTGTCTAATATTTTATTTTTTTACTATTTTGAGAAATCGAATCCCCAATTGGATAATTTTTTTTTTAACCTTCTTTAGAAAATGGATAAAACTAAATAAGATCTTTGACTCACTTCAATTAGATTAAAGATCATAATTGATCAAGACTATTAACAATGTAATGATCCCAATATGCAAAAATTGAGTTTTAGGTAGGGGTGGGACATTAGTGTGGAAAAATTATTTTAAGTTATTTTGAAAACACATAACCAAACACAATCATCTCACAAAACCAAACCCATTATCTCATATAACAGGGTTGTGTTCGATTCTATGATCGATTTCTATATTTGTAGACCTTTTCAAATTATTAAGTACTCTTGGAGCAAATCTAAGTGGTACTCTAATTTAATAGCTATTGGTGTAAATAATAGAACTATCACTTTGTGTTAAAGTTTTATGAGAAAATGTGAAATTTGTCATTTAATGATAATGAAATGGAGCATCACTCTAAAAGCATTGAATAATTTCTTGTTAGTGTGACGTGATTCATATGGTATTGCATTTATTTTCCTTAATCCATATTAAGGTAAATCATAATGCAAGGTGACATGTGTATGTGCCTTTAATTGAGATGTGTTCAATTGAACTAGTAGTATATCTAAACTAAATCTGAAATTTGGAAGGATTTGTGCCAACCTCGACTTGAATCCAACCTCTAATCCAAATTGTCTTGCCAAACCTGAGCTCGAATTTATATGAAGGGGAATGTCTAGTTAGGTTAGAGTTTTTCTTCATTGATTATGATTGATCAATTATATTAAAGTGAGTCAAATATTTTATTTTTTTACTTTATTTAATAATGAAATGGAGCATCACTTTAAAAGCATTGAATAATTTCTTGTTAGTGTGAGGTGATTCGTGTGGTAATGCATATATTTCTTAATACATATTAAGGTAAACCATAATGTTATAAGCATAAATAGCATGTATATGTAATTTTATTTAAGACGTGTTCAATTGAGCTAATAATATCTCTAAATTAAATTTGAAATATAAAAGGATTTATGCCAATCTCGACTTGACATCAACCTCTAATCTAAATTGTTTTTGTCAAAGCCTGAGCTCGAATTTATATAAAGAGTTTAATAAGTCGAGTGAGGTTAGAATTTTTCTTTATATGATTGATTAATCCAATTAAAGTGAGTCAAATATTTTATTTTTTTGCCTTACTGAGAATATGGATCTAGACATATTTGGTTCACATTAACTAGGATTGTAATTAATTAGGACTATCAATAATGCGTTGATCGCAAGACACGAAAACCATAATTGGAGATATGGGTGGGGCGTTAGTGCGACTTGACTTGACTTGTCATTTTCTCACAATTTTTTTTGCATGTGGGGAATGTATTTATTTTCTTTGGTATGTGTGAAAGTAAATCATATGTCACCAATTAATAAATAATAATATTATAAATTTAGATTTATTTATTTAAAAATTATTTAGAATTGTTATTTTATCATTTAAATTTATTCTATATATAAATTTTACATTATATAAATTCAATCTCAACAACATAACTATCAGTTGAAATACATTTAGAATTTGAGGATAGGATTCATATTGTTTTTCATTAATAAATCC